AAAACAAAGGGACCAGTAAGGGATAGACTTAACATGAGCACACCCTCGATTGCACTAGGCAGACCACAGGTGAAATAGATGTTTTGACTGTTTCAACCAAGGCAAAAGCATTGGTCAGAGCTTAGTTTGTTAGCAAATTCAGCCATAATTCATCTGTAATAAATCAAGCTTTGCTGCTTCTACTGCTCCCAGAACTGTTTGTTATATGTTTATTTTAGGGTTTGGCGCCTGCCATAAATTTGGGGCTGTTTTTCAAACAGTGACAGTGATATATTAGTATGACTATGTTGGCTCCCAGAAGTGGGACTGTAGACATGCCGAACAAACAGAAGCTCATGTTTCCTTTTTTCTAAAAAAAAAAAAAAAAAAAAAAAAATCACCTCTCATGAAATTCGTTTGTGATCAAAGTTCATAAACATGGTTTACTGTTGACCAAGGAGGCTTTGAAAGAACTCACTCAAGAACATTTACTGGGTGAATTTAAATTAGTGTGCTCCCATTATTTTTTTTTTCTGATAATCTAACTTAAGCATTATCAAAATTATCTGAACAACACAGTACTGGATTGTATCTCCTAGGAAGGCTATCAGTGCAAGGACAGTTCAAGACTCTAAAAGCAGCCTTTTCCTTTCAAGACTTTTTCTGTATTTCAGCTGAAGTAAGAGAGCTGTTTCCAAGAATAAAATTAAGGAAAAAATATTTTGTTTACCCTGAAAGCTTAGTGTCAAAAGAATGTCCATCTTTGCCAGGAACAAGTTAGGGAAGAATGGAGAGAGGGTCAGAAATGTAGATCAGGAATGGGGAGCTCCCAGAGACTGGTGCTTCCTTTGTGACCTGGAGGGAATTTTGTGTGTAAGTCTTAGTGATCAGAAAGCAAAAAAGAATTGGCACAAAACAGGATGAGCATACCAGGGTGGGAGAAACAGTTGGAGACCCAGGAGGTGAAGTAGCAGTACCCCAGTGGGGTTGTATATCAGTGAAAACACAAACCAGAGAAGGCTGGGTATTGAAGCAGAGCAGAGAGGGGTGAGGTGCCAGGGCAGGTGTACAGGAAAGAAGAGAAAATGCGTGGAAAGCAATGAGAGGGAGAATGGCTGAAACCTGAGGATACTGAACACCCCACACCCAGAGGAGCAGAAGACAAAGTTTCTTTGCTGCTGGAAAATGCTTGCAAAGCTCACTATCCAACCACATTTCTTGTCTCTGGTAGTAGCTGGTTCATACAGGATATAGACATTGATTACTTTTAACCAAGATTGCTCTGTAAAATGGTGCTTCAGTTCTATGCCTCCCGATACTTATTTTTGAAGACAACCCAAATTTTGGTGTTCCAGTGCATTTGAGTAGCTGACTTTGTAAATCTAACCTTGTAGTCTTCTCATAATGTGTTTGTGTTAATAGAGATATATGCTTAAAGGGAAAATGCCAGAAAACAAAGCCTAAATACAAACAATGCAGCTGGCATAAACCCCAAACCAAAAGAGAGACAAGGTTGTTGCTACCTGTTCCTCTCCTCCTTCTCTACCCGTAACCAGAAAAAAATGTGATGTTTTCCTAAACTGGCACAGATTTCATTTGCTGGCAAGGTTAATGGAGAGTAGAAATTCAAGGGTAGCTTTTTTTGTTGCACCTGTTGTGTAAATGGACCAACAACTCAATATTATAAATATAGCCAGTCTATTCATCCACCATGATGAATTTTTAAACTGTGAAATGTGAGATTGAAAAAAAGGAGGAGCAGAAATGATTATGGTTGGTGCTTATATTATTATGATGATGTCTCAATAAGGCTAGAATACCAAAGCTCTGAACTCTACAATGAGGAAACTCAGACAGAAACAACTTTAAATCTCCTCCTCCAGACCCCTTTACATCCTTCCTTGTCTATGATAGCACTCGCTCTCTGATCTCCCTTCAAGCTGTAAGCACACAAATTGCCAAAGCCATCTTTTTTTCCATTTTGACCTGATTATGACACTTCCAGTTCTGAAACATTATTTATGCTGTCTTTTTCTCTTCATTATTTTCTCCTCTGTGCTACCTCCTTCAAAGACCATGCAGTTTTTGTTCTTTATTTAATCCCTCTGACATGCTGCCAAATGCCCTTAGTCCTTTGCAGGTGCTTCCCAGTCTTTTCTGACAGCTTAGGTGAGAGTTGGCTCTTATAGTTCCAATTATTTGCAATATTTTATCATGTTTGGGGATCAGGTCTAGATGAGCAGAGAAAATGTCTTTCATTGCATAATCTCTTATGGACCTCTTTGGTTTACAAAAAGGAAAATATGGAAACAAAATGGGAACATATGTGAGTTCTTATGCTGATTGTGAAAAGGCTGGGTAGCAGCCTGTTGGAGAGAGATGGAGTACTGGAATCCACACAAACATTCCCTTTGCCTGGAATATGTCTTTTGAGGTTTGTTTATCACTGACATGAACTCTGTTTTAAACAAGCAAATACCAAAATTGTCGTCGCACGCTTACCTGGATCTCATGAGCGCCACCTATAGAAAAAGCTTTCTACCACATGTGAAAGCAAAGCATGGTTGATAAACATGATATTTGAGAGAAATAATATGGTCAAAGAAAAACTGGAATAGCTGTTTCTTCCAGAAACTCCTTCCTTTAAAACCATTAGGTGCACTGTGGATGTAGTGGTGTTATATATTCTAATATAATGGAAAATTAAAAAAAAAAAAAGAAAAGAAGAAAGGTTTTTGAACTTGCAATAAAGTTTGTTTGTGCATCACCACAGCCTTTTCTCTTTCTACTGGCCAAACACGAAATGAGGGTCTTTGTGTTAAGGCACCAGCTTCACAAACACCCTACTGGCGAGGTAGAAGGTGTGCCCCTGGACTGGATCTCAGCATTTTTGCTGCAGGTTGTATCATACCTGATTGATTCCCTTCAGCCTCATGATTCTGCAGGGAAGAGGAATGTTTATGGAATTACAGCAAGCTGAGTTCCCCAGACACACATGCTCTCAAAGCATGCCTGCTTCTATAGACTGGAAAAGCTTTGATTAATAGGAATAGCACTAGACTTTAAGGCGCACTTTATTTCACTGATGAACTTTGAAGTGTCTCTGGCAGCAACGGTTTTGTAAACTGTAATCGTTAACATCGCTTATTCAGGATTTACAAGAGAGACTAACATTGCCTATTTTTTCAGGCTGCTACAGGGATAAATAACTGATGTTGAAGAAACAAATCAGAATTTCTGTGGGAAAAAAAATAGAAGGAAAAAGAATTGTGTGTGGGTTTTAGAGCCAGCAAGGCATTTTTCTGAGGTGCTCGTAAAAGTACATGCTGTGATGTGACTGTGTTATAAAAGAGGGAAGGGTGATGTGTGGGCTCCGTTATGTAATATTATTGCAGAGCTTAAACAGTGAAGGGTCACAATAGAAAAGTGATATCGTGGAAATCAATTTGCATCATATACCACTTAGAACATGCAAAAATTAGAGTGTTTGTTCAAAACCTCCTCCATAACAGGATTAACTGACAAGGAAATTAAAAATTATGTAAGAGGAAAAGCTGAAGAGATAATCCAGGATGATCCAAAGGATTTTGCAGATATCTCTGTACTGTTAACAATCTTGTCATTAAATCTAGCAATTTAATGAGCTACATTCTCCATTGGTACAAATACAGTTCCATGTACACAATTAATGCGTTTTTTACTTTGACATAGATCTAAGCATGATATACTTGTTTTAGTGTATCATATTGTACATCAGTACACGTATATTTAGCAGTGTACTCCTGTTGAAGGCAGTATATCTGTGCTGATTAAAAAGCCAAGGATGTGGTTCATAAACCATTACTTTCAGGGATGTCTGAAAAAAGTGCTTGAAATCATGCTTCATACTCACAGTGATGTATAACACTGGCTTGTATCTGCAGTTTCATCTGTCTCTTGGTGGTTGGTGTTGTCAGACATTTTGACACATTCTTTTTTTATTGGCTGAAAAACAATGTAATAGTAAATAAGAATAAAATGAACCAGTTGTCTTCACAAGAAAAACATTTTAGGAAAGGTGCTATTATTTCCTTGATGATTAAGTTGACCTATTGAATTTGCATGAATATCCTTGTGGAGTTACATGACTGTATGAATGTAGTGAAGACAGTTTGGGTCCATCTTTGTCTCACGGGTCACACTAGGAGCAGCATGTGCTAAAAGATGACTCTCGACTAGTTTCTTATCATGTGCTCTGTTACAGCTAGTCTGCTGCAGTAGGAATGTGTTACAAAAGTCAGAGAGTGATTGCTGCCCTTCCTTCTCCTACCTTTTGCTTGTCTTTTATTGCTTACTGCTGCTGGAGCTTTCTTGAAGCAAATTGAGTGCTGCCCTTAGCATCTCTCCTTGAAGTTTGTTGCTCCAATCAATCTCTTCTTCCCATGAATAATCCCCACTTTCTTTTTTAAAATATTAATTTTTGCTTCACTTTGGGCTTCTCTTGCTTCAGCCAGCTCTCTTTACAACACAGCACACGTCTCTTCCTCTGAATGTGAAGTGTACAGATCAGCTCAGTGTTTTATAATGTCCTAATTACTGTACTCACAGGTTACGGGTTATAACAGTATGCCAGAGGGTCAATGAACCTTTTAAGTTAAATGAAAAGCTGTATCTTTGTGGGACCTAATTAGAAGGTGAAGTTAATAAAGAGAGAAGGGGGAAAAAAAACATTAAGAAAGTCAGATACCTTCAAAAGCTGTTGAAAGAAGCAATCTACTGGGGTTCTTTTAAGTACTAGCTGGCCTTTAACAAGAGGTAAAGTGTGAGGATCTTTTTGAGAGCCCAATGATGAGAGTTGGAAGTTGCCAAGTGGCAGTTCCGTGGCGTACATCTTTGTGACACATGCTAACAGGAGAGACAGGAGGAACCAGAGGAACAGCAAGAAGCTTGAATGGCTGCTTGCATGGTGTTGGTAGACTAAGCAGGGGCTGGGGAAGCAGCAGAAGTAGCTTCCTGATGCCTTCTCCTTTAATGCTTCCTAGGAACCTTGTACCAGAGGAGGGGAGCCTGCCTATTGACGTGCCTGCATTGGAGGACTGGAAGTAGAGACAACTTCTAGGGCAAATAAACCCAGAAAGCTTCAATTGGAGAGCATGGAGACTGTTAGACCATAGACTTTTACTGATGAATAGTGTTTTGCCATAGACTATGTACTGTTGGACCCCTGCATTTTTACGGGGACTTTCTGTTGGGATTTCGAAATGTTACTCTGAAGCCCTGGGAAAAATAACTGCTCCAAGACTCAATATTTCTGAATCATTCAGTTACGATGTTGTTTTTAAGAATTGTACATGGAATGTACAATCTCCCCACTCAGCCTTGGGCACAAAAATTCATGATGAGTTTGGAATGGTGTTTGTTGTATTTGAAAAAGAAATTTCACTGCACTGATTTCCTTCATTATTAGTGATTCAATACTAAGAATAGAAATCTATTATTCTTATTACTCCATGTTCGTGTTCCTCACTGGAGTTTATGTAAACAGGTCCCCATGTATATGTGTAGAAACCTATTGAATTCTGTGTGAACTAAGTGCTGGGATGTATTTTTTCCTGCAAATGCAATTTGCTTGAAAGGGCAAGATGCTGACTTTGACTTTCACATATAAATCTCATTTCCCATTTTGTATATGTTCATGTTATTCTCAGATTCTTTCACCCTTTCAGCATCAGTGCCCAGTTCCGGGCTCCTCTTTGGATCCTAAACAAGATAGGATTTCCGTTCAGTATGTAAGATACATCTACTCCTTAATGTTTGGGTGTTTGCTAAGCACAAAACTAATCTTTTATATTTACTAAATGATTTGCATGAGAACTTTACTTTCCTTATTTTTTTTCCTGTGGTTTTTGTTGTCTGTTTAGTTTTGAGTGTTTTTTGTAGGCAGAATGAGAATTAAGAAAATTTCCGTGATTTAATTTTCATCACTTGTTGGCAAAAAAAAATGCACAGTGTATATTCTTTCTGTGAAATTAATCTCTCAGAAAAATTCTCACCTGGTGTATCTTTGTGGACCAGGCATCAAAAGGATTCGCCAGGCAGGTTCATGGCACTGTCTGTCAGGCTCATCAAAATTATTACTGCTTTGCCCAGTACATGGGCCTACTACCTTGATGCTTTGAAAGTGTGGGCTTCTTGATGGAATGGGTCATCCATGGAAAGAAGAGCAACCATGATGCTCTGAGAATGTCAGATGGACCTACAACCTTCAGATAAACATAGAACCATACACTGGTTTGAGGTGGAAGGAACCTTAAAGACTATGTTGTTCCAGCTTCTCTGCCATGGGTAAGGACATCTTCTACTAGACCAGGTTGCTCAAAGCCTCATCCAACCTGACCTGGAACACTTACAGGAATGGGACAAATGTGTCCTCTGTGTGCTCAAGGACATATAGAAAAACATCAGCAGTACCCTAAATTTGGGCATTGCTACTACAGGTAGCTTACAGGTAGCTTACAGGTAGCTGGCCTCCTGGCAGCAGCACTTTGTTGACTCCTGTTGGCAAGCAAGGAGTGCAAAGAGGAGCATGTCTGGTTGAATTTCCTTGTTACTTTGGTGTGCCTCAGGGTGCTGCTGTGAAAAAGCAATTCCCTACCAGAACCAAGGAGCAGTTTTGAACTTACAGTTAACAGAAATCAAATTACAAAGGTCAATATTAAAAGAAAGAGTGCATAAAATATTCAGAATCATGAAGAGAAATGTTTGGGCAGCCAAATTTGCCTGATGGATCTGAGCTTACCTTTGGTGAATGATGCTGCCCTGAAATAGCTGATAGGGGTGTGCAAGCAGATACTCAGGCACCGTGTTTTTTTTCTTGGGAGTTTGTTCCGTTGGGTTTTTTTGTTGTTGTTGTGAAGGAGTAGGAGAGATTTTGGTAAGTATTTCATCCCCTGATCCTATGCATGACTAAACTGCTTCTAATGGAGCTGATGCACTTCGGGGCCTGCTGTGAGATGGTATAGTCCAATAGAGCAGCAAACACAGCTGGTGAGAATGACTGTTTATAGAAAATTAAGATAAATCTAGAACTGTAAGATTTGTCCTCTAGCAAGGTACTTGAGATACCTTGTGAGAAAGCATGGGGAAATGGTAAAGTGAAAATGAAGATGACTGAGGAAACTACACCAGCCTTCCCAGGAAATGGGAATGGTCTCTGTGGGTGTCACACATGTGTCAGTATCCTTGAAGCAGCCTGCCATCATTGATCAGATCAATCTCTATTCAGAAGATGCAAAAAACCTTCTGTAAAATCTAAAAGAGGGAAGTTAACTTTTTTTATATTATAATGGATGGGAAAGATTTTGGGTAAAGGTTGAAAAAAAGCAATTGTTTCTTGTGTGTGACCTATGGAAGCAAAAGACTCAGTGGAAGAGTAGAGTCAGAACACAATACAACATTCCTTCATAAAACAGTTTTCTGTACATTTGATTAAATATATTTTTATATTGCTGAAATACACGTTACACTGCTATAAACCTTACACAGTTGAGATGTCTGTACTGTTTCACATTTATCTTTCCTAAGCTTATGCTAGACTTTTACCAGTCTTCTGCACAGCAACACTTTTATTGGGTTGGCTTAAACAGTTCATAAGGCTTTATTTATCACTCATTTTATGCTAAAGCAAAGGACCTACTCTCATTGTTTTGTTTTCCATTTGTTGGTGTAGCTTCACTAAAATTGTTACTTGCATTAGGTTTATAAAAAGATTAAGAACTGAACTTCAACTTGTAGGGAATAATGTGTGTGTAATAGTTCATGTATCTTCAATGAATTTTCTAAATTTGTTGAAGCACTGAATTTGACCACTGAAATGAAAAATATGCTTTTGTAGAAGTTATTTGAGGTTTTGGCCATTCAGTTCTGTGAACCTGCAGTCTCAGCGTAAATACAGACTTAATTTCTCAGAAGCATGTCCCTTTAAGCTGTCAGTGTTCATGTTGTCTGTGCCAGTATTCTCAGGGCATACATTTCCCCATACATTAATAACTCAATTTTCTGAATAAAGCAGGGCCAGTTCTATTGTTAAGGTTTTGTGGACAGAGGACATGGAAGACTGGTTAGCAAACAGTGAATGCCAACTCATGCCTCTACTGAACCTTTGAAAAGTCTGAATACTTAATGCTGAGCCTCAATGAAATGGTGATGTCTGTCACTGCAGTTCCTGAATAGCTCCCAAGGCTAAATGGGGGAGGGTTACTCACTCATCTTTTTCAGTAGGAAAGAAAGGTAAGAAATGAGGTTGTCCTTCAGTGAGAATGATTTGTCCTGAGAAAATCTGTAGGCAGACTTGGAATTGAGTTTGCTTCAAGGGCCATTCTGACGTTTTAGCAGAAAGACCAGGGATATTCCAATTGCCCAGTCAGAGGAATAAAATGAAAACAAAAAGGTTTCTATTTCATGAAGGTCATACCAAACGTAGATAACTAACCTAAACCTTCCAGAATAATTCTAGGCAAAATGTCTTAATTCTGTTCCACAATTCTGCTTTTCCAGATCACAGACAGGTTATCTGTCCTCAGGTCAAATGGTCCTACCAATGTGTGGGCTGATGGGCTGAAATAAAAATCAATTCCACTTGTTAATCAGTTGCAGTTCTTTAAAAAGTGCACTTATGAAGTTGCTCTGATTAGCAATATATGGATATTGCATCCCTGGGCTTTCCAAAGTGACAGGTTTTTCCATCCTCTTAGTCATACAAGGAGTTCCTTTACATTCCCTTGCTAAGGTTACTCAAAACACTTTACTGAAATGTGCCTTCTATTTTGAGCTAGAGACAAATTAGTATCAAATTATGTGCTTTCTCTGTGCTTAACTGATGGATAATATTTTAAAACATCATTTTGTAGAAACTCTAATTGTGTCAACAAATCTTTTTTTGGTAAACAGAATCTTCACATTTCTTTTAGTGCTTTATTTTCAGGCAATGCATGCTATTGAAATGCATGAGAGGAAATTAAATGCCTGTGATTTAGTAAAATGTTCATTTAAGGAACCAGCGGTTTTGCTTATTAGCATTTTGTAACAATTAGAATGTTTCTTGGTTTCAATTAAGGCAGTATATGCCTGTTCCATACACCTGGATTTTCTTAAGTTTTATGTCTCTCATTCTCCCTTTTGTGATAAGCTCAATACTTGGCTAATTTAATTTTTCTTTCTTTTTTTTCTTTTATTTTGGCATCACTTCTCTAAGCTTCAGCCAAGAGGAAAGCATTGCTATACTATAATGTGCAGGATTAGGACATTCCTTAGAAAGCCTAGTTTTGCAGATGTAGGACAAGGAGAGAAGAAACAAATGATATGAGAGAAAATTAGGAGAAAAAGAAAAAAAAAAAGATTTTTTTTTCTTGGAAATTAGATATTTCCATGTTGCTTTTTGATTGGGCTGGAAAATTGACTCAACATTACAGATTCTAAAGATTCTCAGTTATAAAGACCCTTTCTCAATTAGGTGAATTGAGAAAGTTTCATCTTTACACCCACAATGAAAATGGTCACATGAATCCCTGTTTGTTTGCCTCAGTTTGCCTCAGTTCCCTGGAGCCTCTGCCTGTGCTTGAGCCACTGCTGTGAATCACAGGACTCCTCAGACTGCCCACTGTGTCCCACACGCTGTGCCTGCAGAGGTGTTGTCTCCTGGGGAAACAGGACCCGTGGAAGTCCTGAGGGCCTATTGTTCCCATAATTTGAGTCAAAGCTTTACTAGCAGATTGGTTAATGTCATCTTGATCTGAGGCTGTATGTTGGATTTTTTCCCAGTAGAAAATTCTCCCTTATCTCTATCTTCTCAAAAAACAAAATAAACAGGAAAATAATGAGTACTGAGCAATCTGCAGGTTTTGCAAAAATAAACACAGTTGCAAAAACAAATTGGCTTTAGTTATCACTTCCAGAGCACAAGTGAGACTGAAACACAGAGTTAAGTGACTTGGCCACGATCGCATAAAAACCATGAGGGTAACCATTGAACCCACACATCTTGAAGATCTTGCCTGCATGAACCCTTAGGTGGGTCTAAAAGTTGGAGTTCATTTGTTGCCACCTCCATCAAGGTGCATGGAAAATGATTTTGCAGTTGTGCAGTCTCTACTTTGTCTTGAGAGAGTAAAAAAAAAAACAAACCAAAAACCTGAATAAAACAGAAAAACACTTTCTTTTTCTTTTCTCTTTCTCTTCCTTTTTCCTTTACCTTTCTATTTCCTTTGTTCTTTTCAGGTGCAGGAAGACTACAGAGTATTTACAGTCTATTTATTAGCAAGAATTATCCCCCGTTTCTGCTAATACATTTAGTGAAGACAAGTTTGCATCGTTTCTGCCAAGGGATTTCATATTAGACAGAGGATAATGTTTAACTTTATAGATGCCAGTGATAATTTCCAATGGGAATTTACTACATTGGCTTGATTTTGTGTTTCTGAAACTCTCATTACAGCTGCACCAGGCTGCATATGGCAGTTCTGGGAAAGGAAAAGGCTCAGTGGGGATTTCAGTATTCCCAGTTTAATGGTTTTTGTTAACAAAAAATAAAAGCAGAGACAGCAATCAGGGATGAGTTTGGAGAGCTGCAAGGAGTCTAACAGGGAATACCCATGGTGGGGATGATTTGAGTTGGCTTGTTTCCCCATGGCAACATAAGACCTCTGGACGTCCCGCTGCTGTCCAGGCTGCCCGAGAATGCAGGTGTGGAATGCAATGGGGCAGAGCTGAAGGCAGACAGAGGAGGAGAAAGAGAGGAAAGCACTACTGGCAGGGTCTGCACAGGGGCAGCCAGGACCACCAGCTGAGGGCAAATCTGAGATGAGGGGTTGGTAAATCTGCACCTTAATTATGGGTGTCTTGTAAAGTTCTCCTAAAGCAAATGTTCAGTTTCTCAGGTTTCAGCAGAGGGACAGCTGGGCACTTTTTGGAAGCCAGTGGGAAAAGTCCTGGCTGCCTATATTTTAGGAACTTGAGTCAAGTGCCTGATTTCCCCCCAGCTGGATGTGTAACTCTCTCATCTTCAAACTTTAAGCTACTGAATGGACATTAGGTGCAGCCGAAGAAGGCAGAAGTAATAAATTCTCCCCTCTGTCAGGAACTGCCTGGTACAAGTACTAACCAAGGAGGAGAAAGTCCCAGGTCTGTTCCCAGGATTATAACTCCTCTTTTTTTGTTTGTTTGCAACCGACAATGATTCTTTGGTGTAAAACATGTAGCCAGTTTAAGGGCCAGATGCAGGTTTCCATCTCTCATGAATGTACCCTAACCATTAGAGTCTTAACCATCTGGGTGAACAAACCCGTGAAATAAATATGACTGAGCGGAGAGGTTTCATTAACCAGATCTGTCATCCACAGATATTTTCCAGAATGAACCACTAAAAATCAATTTTGTGCATTCCTTAAATTTAAATTTGTCTTTGTGATAACCATGGCAACTATTACAGCTAAAAAAAACACAAGTGGAGAAAATACACACTCATTTTAAATTAACAAATGGAAACTACAATGGGAAAATGTGGTTAAAGAACCTAAAGCAACTAAGTGTTACTGCTTATGATCACTATGGTGTTTAATACAATCTTCTTTCTTCTTTAACTTTTAATTATAACTATATATTTCTGTGCATTCGAGCTAATTTTCTGCTGGTATGTCAGAATACCAGAGTAGTTTCTGTAGCCTGCTTTCTTTAACTGAAAAAATCCAGAAATAGTTTAATAAAAAGACTCCAATTTCTGATCTGATTCATGTGCAAGAGCCCAGACTCTCAAAGCTACAGAATGAGATGTATATAATTCCACATGGCTTTCAAGGGGTGAGGGAGCAGACAGATGCCCACATATCCTTCAGGAGGTAGTCCTAGCACAAACAAAGTTCAAGTGGTTGTAAGGAGATTTATGGTTTAATGGAATAGGTTTTAAAGCTGTCTAGAGACCTGCCAATGCAGTTACACATTGATGAGTGTATATCAAAACAGCTAAGCATCCTACATACCTAACTTTTGCAATATCTATGGAAGTTAGGTACCTACCATATTGAACCAAGTTAATAAATCTCCCTAGCTGCTACCTGTGCTTTGAGATGTCCAACAGGCCTGTGTACTTAGTTTCAGCCTTACATATTAATATCACCTGTGGAAACAACATTTGATCATGACTGCAAAATCTAGCCATACTGCATAGTATTTACCATGTAAATGATTGATAAAATTAGGGGCATTGTCACTAAAATGAAAATACCTTGTATAACTCTAGATGTAAGCTACCATTATGGATTATTTTTTCAGCAATGATTCATTAAAAATCCATGCCAGTGACTATGGAGTGGTGCTGGACAAACCTAGCTGTTCTGGCAAGACCTCACAAATACTGTTCTGCAAGAAGGAGCTTTTCTCCCCAGCAAGTCTTTTGACCACAGCTGGCTGAGAGGAAATCAGAGCCAATGCTTGGAGGAGAGACTACAATTTGTGCACCTCTGAGTCCCCTATGAGAGGCACTGGCAAAAGCTGGAGGGTAGGCAAAAAAAAAGAAGCAGAAGAGCTGAACTGAAATACTTTACCAGTGGGCTATTGTCTCTAAAATATTCATGGTTTTCTTTCATTAAAATTTTCCAACTTCTAATTAGAATTGGATGGGCAAGTTCTGTAAGAATGATTTTGGCATAAAAAGCTGTTTTTCCGTCACCATGTTACCACATGGGAGTTGCATAAGCCTCCGTTCTCTTGTGTGATGTGAACTCACCAGGAGAAACAATAAGATCATTTGGTTTCTGAATAGGGCAGGGTACCATGAAGGAGAAAGACAGTTTGGGACTGAACTGACA